TAAATGAATTAATAAAGTGTGAAAAAAACATCAGATTTGATGGACACTTCATGTGATTTGAAATGCATCCCCAGAATTAGCTGCTACATTTGTTTGCGGTAGCACTCGGACTGTGTTAGACAAGAGACAGATGTTAAGAACGTTTTGTTGAGAGAAAGTTGGACAAAAACATTTTGGGGAGTTTTTCTTTCTGCGTTCCTGCCTGCTGGAGTTCAGGAATTCTCTATCACACTCCACTTCCCAACTGCTGGATAAACACGATGGCCTTGAGAGAGAGTGTGTGTGTGTGGTTTGGGAGGTGTGACGCTTCCATGATCCAAACATCAAAGTGTATCCGTGGAAACTGTGAGGTAGCCAGTAAATGCAGCTAACATGGCATGACTTGTTTTTATTCCTTGACTTTTTCGTGTGGGTGAAAATGTAGTCGTTTGGGATGCATCCTACACATCTGGTGTTAGAGAATATATCATACAGCGGTGGGCCATGTTATAAAAACACAATTTTTTGAGACGTTTCAGCCTCTAAAAAGAGTTTGACAGCTTTCTGGCAACTGATTTCCTCTTCAGTTTCTTCAGTCCAGACAACCCGCTGACCTTACTGGCATGTCTCTGTGCGGATGGGGCATCTGTGTGTGTGCGTGTGTGTTTCTACAAGCAGACTTTTTTTAGCTGAATGTTACAGAAAATAAAAACCCAACTGTATTGCACTGAAAATGCAGTTGGTTTTATTTTTCATTACTTTGAACACTATTTAAAATCCTTTTTTTTCTCACAAATATGAAATACATTTTTTTTTTAAATCATAAAAAAAATATTTTTGGACAACAAATTAACATTATTTAAAATATGTTGATGGATAATTATAGTTAAAAAGAAATACATTACTTTTAGCTAAAAATACATACAGTTAAAGAATTATTAGCCTCCTGAATTATTAGCCCCTCTGTTTATTTTTGCCCCAATTTCTGTTTAACGTAGAGAAGATTTCTTTTAATGCATTTCTGAACATAGTTTTAATAACTCTATAATCTCTAATAACTGATTTATTTTATCTTAATATTTTACTAGAAAATTTTCTCAAGGCAGTTCTATATAGCCTAAAGTGACATTTAAAGGCTTAACTAGATTAATTAGGTTAACTAGGCAGGTTAGGGTAAATAGGCAAGTTATTGTATAAAGATGGTTTGTTCTGTAGACTATCAGAAAAATATATATATATATATATATATATATATATATATATATGTATAGCTTGAAGGGGCTAATAATTTAAATCTTAAAATGGCTTTTAAAAAACTAAAAACTGCTTTTCTTCAAGCCGAAATAAAACAAATAAGACTTTTTCCAGATGAAAAAAATATTATCAGACATACTGTGAAACTTTCCTCCCCTGTTCAACATAATTTGATAAATATTTAAGAAAGAAAAGAAAAAAAAATCAAAGAAGGGCTAATAATTCTGACTTCAACTGTATATTATCATTTTAAAAACTATTAAAATTTACAAAAAAAATAAAAAAAAAATCTTTAAGTAAAATAAAAATTTATAGCCATTATAATAGATACTAAATATTAAAATACCAAACACACACTAAGGTAATGAAAACTGAAAAAAATTATTCAAAATAATTCAATAATTGCCCCACAAAATTTCTTTTAAAAAACCTTACAGACTGCAACTTTTATTTTTTATGTTAAAGACAGGAAGAACGTAAATATTTGACCATGAGATTCTTAATGCTATTACAGTGTTATAATGAGGTAATATTTTAAACTACAGATTGTTTTTAGCTTCAAAATTCACATCTGACTGTAGTGTAAAGCAGTGCAGGTGGGTGAATGTTTGGGGCTGTTTGACCTGTGGTTTGCCTTTTGTCACAGAAGAGAGCGAGAGGAAAGGCTTTAGAAATAAACCGCAGAACTGGGTGGGTCAGAGAACACACACGTTTTGACACATGACACAGGCTCACACACACACACAGGTGAGAACAAGCATACACAGCGTTTAAAAAGACTCGACAGGCAAAGACATCTTTTACATGCATGAAGGTTTAAAGATTTTCTGTTCTTTTTTTTTTTTCTTTTTTTTTGACCTAATATAAAGGGTCGTACCTACAAACACTTTTGAGTGATTCTTTGTATGAGTTTTTTGTTCTGAAACTGTAGCCTCAGTTTCTTGCTCTTATAAGCTACAGCTGACAGTTCAACCACTTCAAGGTTGGCTGTGTTGTGCGTTCAGAGATGCTCTACTGCTCGGTTGTAACGAGTGGTTATGTGTGTTACTGTTGCCTTTCTATCAGCTTGAACCAGTCTGACTATTCTCCTTTGACCTCTGGCATCAACAAGGCATTTGTGGCCACAGAACTCTCTCTTTTTTCGGACCATTCTCTGTAAATCCTAGAGATGGTTGTGTATAAAATTCTCAGTAGATCAGCAGTTTCTGAAATCAACCATGCCGCGTTCAAAATCCCCATTCTGATGCTTGGTTTGAACTGCAGCAAATCTTATTGACCATGTCTATAAAATGGTACATTTCTTATATAAAAGTGTATCAAAATGTCCTGTAAATGTTATGTTTGGAAAAAAAAAAACATTTGATAATTGTATTAGAATGATTTCTGAAAGATCCTGTGACACTAAAGACTCGATTTATAAGACTGAAAATTCAACAATCCACAAATAGAACATTTTAATTTTAATTTAATCAGAAAACAGTTATTTCAAATTATAATATTATTTCAGAATTTTACAGCATTTTTAATTGTATTTCTGATTTCTTCCGAGCATAACCTGTTACTTGTTTTAAAAACAAACAATTAATTTTTTTTTTTTTTTTTTTAGAGTTTTTTATATCAATTTATATAAAATTATTTATTTAAAAAAAAAAAAAATTATTATAGGAATATGTTCATATTCATCCATTTTGTTCAATTAGTCACACAAAATATATATATGTCAGGTAAAATATGTCAGGTTACAAAATCTTGATTTTATTTTTTTACAAAGATTACATGAATTTTTTTTTCAGAAATTATATATTTTGTTTAATTAGTCACAAAAATATTTATTTTTACTGTTAAAAGATTTCATGTTAACTATGTAAAAAAAATATATTTTGTAACCTGACTTCTGAGTTTTGTAAATAGAATATATGCAAATTAGTGCATATTTCAACAAAGAATGCCTAATTTGCTTGTTTTATTCATTCACTCATTCATTCATTTTTTCTTCGGCTTAGTCTCTTTATTCATCACCACCAACTTATCCAGCATGTTTTTACACAGCAGATGCCCTTCTAAGCTCCAACCCAGTACTGGGAAACATTCATACACACTCATTCATACACATACACTCCAGCCAATTTAGTTTATTCAATTCCCCTTATAGCACATGTCTTTGGACTGTGGGGGAAACTGGAGCACCCGTAGGAAACCCACGCCAACACAGGGAGAACATGCAAACTCCAAACAAAATGCCAACTGACCCAGCCGGGACTCGAACCAGCGACCTTCTTGCTGTAAGGTGACTGTGCTAAACACTGAGCCACCGATACAGAAATTGTTTACACTTCCTAATGTAATCCATCAACTTGTGAAGTATGTTGATACATTTTAATACTATTATGTTTTACCCTGTTCACCTGCAGCGTCTTGCCTTAAAGAGAGCATCTGGCCTACTTTCCACATGCTCTGTGACCCAGTTTACACCGATTCAGACACACGGAACAGTAACAAACCTGTTCCACATCCCTTCTTGTGTGTTGTTAAAAGACGGCGCATGATCTGCTTACAGTGCTATAATCTAAAACAGACGCGCTTTGGCACACACCCTCTCTCGCACGCTCAGATGTCATAAAGCAAAAGAGAGATCTGACAATCTAATCCGCTCCCTTCATGTGTGTTTGTGTGTGTGTATGTCTGGGCCTGCGCTAACCTGCTCCTGCCAAAAGCAGGAAATGAGGGAGCTGTAAGAAAATGGACTGCCACTGTTTAGTCTCTGAACACACACACACACACACACACACACACACACACACACACACACACACACACACACACTGTTTAGTCTTCTCCAGCAGCTGTGCTATTCCAAGTAACACAGGCAGGAAGAACAGAGAGAGCAGAAATAGATGGATGATTTTAGGACAGTGATGCCAAAGTCCTGTTGTACTTCACTGTGCTCGACTATAAACGTGCTCTACTGGAGCCTGACATAACAATGCTAATCTAATACACTTATTGTTAAGGTTTTCAGGCATTAAAAATGTTATTAAAAATATTATTTATTTATTTATTTATTAACTATTTTATATAATCAAATTATGTATTTATTCAATCATAATATTATTTAATTAATTAATTTATGAAATCAGAATTATTTATTTATTTATTTATTTATTTATTTATTTATTTATTTATCCAATCATGAAACATCAAACAGCTGCTTTTTTTGCTTGGTTTATTATTATTATTATTATTATTATTATTATTATTTAACTGTACTTAATAACAGTAACACATTTTATATTAAATGCAATAAAATATAATAGTTATTAAATCATATGTATTTATTACAATATTTATTTATTTATTTATTTTATTCATTCGATCATGAAATACATCACATTTAGCTACTTTACTCATTTAGTTTATTATTAAAACTATTATTATTGTGCTTATTTAATTGTATTTAATTAAAAAAAAGTATATTAACGATTAAAAAACTATTTATATTTATTCATTCAATCATAATATTTATTTATCAAATCATAATATTTTATTATTTATTTATTTATTTATTATTTATCCAATCATGAAACAAATCACGTGATCCTCGTGGGCTACCATGTTGGTGACCCCTGCCTTGATGCGAGTACAGTGATAAAAGCTTCAGCGATTAATCCCGTCTATAAGCCTATACCACATTAAACTATCCACAAGAATGTGTTTCTGTGTTGTCCAAATCTTGACTTGCTAACCTGTCCCTTTCTCCTCTTCCGCAGTATCATCATGTATAACCACCTACAAGAAAACCCCGCCCCCCGTCCCGCCCAGGTCAACGCCCACCAGACCCTACATCTCTATAACAGCCCAGAGCAGCACAGAATCAGCCCAGGATGCCTACAATGAGCTGACCGGTGCTGGGCCTGCTAACCGGGCCTTGGCAGCCGTTCAGTCTGGTCTCAGCAACTCCACAGAGAGCATCGATAGCATGAAGGCCCTGACGGCAGCCATCGAGGCAGCAAATGCTCAAGTCCACGGGCCGGCCAGCCAGCATGTGACCAACAGCACCATCACCATCACCACAGCCACCGCCACCTCTAGTGTAACGCATATCTCAGAGGACGCTAAGAGAGACGCCCTCAGGAAGAGCCTGTCCATAGGGATTCAGGTTGGCCGTGTGCACTCACATCTGCAATGCCTGTTTGGTAACATTAGTGCTGGATGATAGGGCAAAGACCTAATATCACGATTCTTACCAGGATAACCATGATTTACAATTTTTTTTCATGGTTCACGGTCAGATTTAACAATGGAACTACCTAATTTCTATAACTACTAGAATTACCACAGTGATCTGTTGAGATATTATGTTCAAAGCTTAATTTTAATATGATTTATTCAGCACTCCCTCCCAAAGAGGCATAAGGTCATTTAAAATGTATGTTTTGTTGGTTTAACAGTCCGCCAGACGTTTTTCTGACTTTTACTACCTAAAAATCACTGATTTTGCTGCAGCTTTTCTTAAAATTTGCAGCAATATTTGTGACATTTTGCATCATACAGATTTGCTGTAAATTTATACCACAAATAAAAGTCTTTATTAAAATATTTTTTTATTAATCCTGGACATAGACTTATAGACCAAATCTATAAAATAGCACTTCATTTCCATATTTTATATGTAACCAAATAACAATTAAACTCATTAACATATTAAGAATGAAACAAATAAAAATATTCAAGTAAATTTAAAATGCCCACAATTTTTTTTTAGGTCCACATGTTAAGGGTGAATCAGTGTCATGATGATGTCATAGAAAGCATCTATACCCTGAATTTGCAGAAAATCCACAGCATTTCAAATAAATAAATAAATAAATAAACAAATAAAATAAAAACCTAGATCCACAAAATTTAGAAAAAAAAAAAAAAAGCGGAGTTTACTTGATTTTAAGATAAATTCAGCAATGGCAAAATCCTGGAGTGAATGGTTTAACGTGTATATTGTGAAATTTGTCACTTATGTTTGTAATAAGGCAACAGACAATGTGTAAGTTTGTAATGAAGAAACAAAAATTTGTAAACTGATGAATATAAGTGTTTAATGCACATTTATGCATCATATCATACCACTCAGCTCTTCGGTTCACTGTCGGATTTAACAATGGAACTACCTGATTTCTATCACTACTAGAATTACCATAATGATCTGTTGAGATATTAAAATTTAGCTTTAAATATAATATGATTTATTCAGCCCAAAGGGGCCTAAGGTCGTTTAAAATGTATGTTTTCTTAGTTTAACAGTCCTTCCAGGGTTTCGCTGGAAAAAAGACAAATGTCCTTATTATATATATATATATGTATATATATATATATATATATATATATATATATATATATATATATATATATATATATATATATATATATATATATATATATATATGCGCATGTATTTTATTACTCCTTGACCCAGACTTATAGACCAAATCTATAAAATAGCTCTTATTTTCAATATTTCATATGTAACCAAAGAACAGTTAAATATATTAACCTTAGAAATTAAACAACTAAAAATATTACACATGTAACATGTAAACTGCTGAATATGTTTAATGCACATATATGCATCATGTCAAATCACTTGTCTCATTTACCATATTCTGCTGTGGATTCTGACCGTTCACTCAAGACATCATATTGTCACATCATATTTACATTCAAAGCTTCTGTTGAGATATTAAAATTAAGCTTTGAATATTCATATTTAAAGAAAAAAATTTATGCAGTCATTTTGGCCGCTATGGTAATACAAGGTAGAAATAATCAGTGCCTCTTTTATGTTTTTTAATTTAATAAAATAACTGTCAAAATGAAATGCTCACATATTTACTATACATCAGGAAATTATGTTTTATATATAAAAAAAATTATTATAAATTATTATTATTATTATATATTAAATTGCAAACATGAAAAAACGTCAAAATAACGGCCTCAATGGTTCTAGTGTTAATGTTTTGCATTTTGTCTGAGCAGTACAGGCAAACTACTGTAAAATTATGCTGATGACAGAATTATGTTAACCTATTATTTTGTAGAAATGTGATTTAACAAAATAATTAAGTTGTCGCAAAAAAAAAAAAACACGTGTAGTTTTAGCTCATTTTAAATAAGTAGTTTAAACAAACAGCAATCATAATTCGAGTGTAATGCCCCTATTTTAAAAACAAAATTTCATAGAAAACCAAATATAAGATTGTAAAAGAATGGTAGACACTTGGGCACTTATGTTTCTTCCTGATTTTGCATTTAATATTTCACAACAAGTTGTCTGAGCAGTACAGCCAAACTACACTGTAAAAATGCTGGGTTCCACACAATCGATTTGTTTTGAGACAACATGCAGCAATTGCTTTAACTCATTATTTTAGAAATTAAAGGGGATTGAACATAATTAGGTTGTCACAAAAATGAGCAATTGTATTTTTGACTGTAATTTCCTCTTTTTAAAAATGAATTAAATATAAAACTAAAAACTACATGTTAAAAAAAAAAAATGGTAGACACATGGGCAGTAGCGGTTGATACACATCTTTATATCTGTAACATTTTTTAATACAGCTTAACATTACAAATACTTATAATATCCAAATCTTATACAAATAATATAAAATTAATTGTTTTTTTTGTAAATACTAATAGTGTTTTTTGAATCATATAGTAAAGAGTATTATACTGTATATATTAGTATTTACAATTGGTAATGAATGCAACAGCATAATGTAGTATTAACTACAGTGAACTGATAAACTTGATTGATTACTGTAAAAACAGCAAGCACACTGTTGTAATCTAACTAAAACCTTTGAATATTCAATCCATGTTGAATGTGTGTCTGCCTTTAGGTGGACGGTCCAGAGGAACCCAACCAATCAGAAGTGCACTGTAAGTTTCAGTCGGTCGGCATTCAAGTAGAGGAAGAGAGAAGGTATGTTTATCCACACCCACTCACTCTCGCTCTCTCTTTCTCTCACTCTCTCTCTCTGTCACACCAGAAACATATCCCATAACACCCACCTCCCATCATGTGCTCATACAAATAACACAATGTAAATGAAAACATGATACAGATGCGAATACAGTGAGTATGAATGTTCCTGAAGAATTAAAACTGTAACAGGAGAGAGAGAGAGAAGAAAGTGAAAGAGAGAGAGAGAGAGTTGTCATTTCAAGCACATGCTCCTGTGACAAAGACACTCCCATTCTCTCTGTCTCTATTTCACACACACAGCTGTCCCTATCATGGTGGTTTGGACACTGGGGCCTCCTGAAGGGGTGGGAGGCAGCGAGACAGCTGCTCTGTGTGGGTGTGTATGCGGGTGTTTGTACGTGCATGTGTGCGTCTGTGTGTGTGTGCGACGCATGGCCATCTGTTGCTGTGCCCATTATGAATCAGGCAGGCTGCTGGGTCACAGACATGGTCAAGTATCGACCCCCTGTCTCACTTCTCTCCTGCTTTCTCTGGCTCGCACACCCTCATATGTCACTGTTTTAGCACCCTGTGGAGAGAGGGAGGGAAATAACCTCAGGAGGAGGTAGAGTGAAAGAGAGAGATGCTCAGTGTCTGTGGGCTTTCCCTTAAAGTTCAGCCACAGGTTCAGCCGAAGCCTCGTAAAAAACACCATCTCGTAGGGCTGTCTGGGAGTACAGATCAAATGCCAGAACAAATGTCTTGCATTCGCACTTGCATACTGTGTGTAAACAGTTGTTTTACAAAAGGTCAGTTATGTTCTAGGTCAGTTGATCTGTCTGGTCCAGTGAAGTGTAAATAGAGATCCTGTGAAAGTCCAGGCTGAAAACACAGACTGTTCAGATCCACATGGGACTTTTATCAGGTTGTTTTCAATTATGTGGTTCTGGTGACACGCAAAATTCAGGGCCTACTCACACTATGCCATCCGTACCGTGCCCAGGCCCGTTTCCCGGATCGTTTGAGAAGTGTGAGTGCGCTGAATCGGGCTCAAGCACGGTTCACTTGGCCAGCCCTGGCCCGTTTGGAAGAGGTGTGCCTGGGCGCGGATCACTTGGGCTTTGGCGCGGTACGCTTGTGTGTTAGTGCGAAACGCGCCAAAGCCCGAAACTGAAAGCGAGATGTGACTTTAAGGGGCTGTTTCATATGGATTTATTAATCATTCTTACTGTTCAGTGATCGCAAACTGCCGTAAAGTTAGTTTATTAAAGACGAGAACTCAAGGGGCTGTTTGGAGGAATATGACTAGTCATAATATATTTGCAGATATCTCCAATCTGATTCCGTACTAGTACTAGTACAATAATTGCAGATATCTCTAATTGTCATTCTGAGTAGTGGAATTATAATTATGACTAGTCAAAATATAATTAGAGATATCTCTAAATATATTTATGGAGTCAGAACAAAGATTTAAATGCTAAAAGGGCTTGCCATAGAGAGCGCTTCTCACTGAACAGCGCAGCAGCGATGACGCAAGCGTGCCGAGGCCCGATATGGTGTGAACGCGGGCCGTCGGGGGAGACGGGAGGGGGGACAAGCACGCTTTGGCCCGGTTCGAGGCAACTGTTATATCGTGTGATATGCAGTGACATGCAGTCAAATATTTCGCCAAACAGTCCTTAGGGATGCGGTGACACGCATTTAGATATTTCGCCGAACAGATCCGCCACTTTTGGCGATCATAAACAGTCATAATGCTCTCGTGCTGCAGGAATGAGGGGGTCTGCTGAAGGTGCACAGTTGTCGTGAAGTGTGGAGTTTGCGTCTTTAATAAACTACGGCAGTTTGTGTTCACTGAACAGTAAGAATGATTGATAAATCCATATGAAACAGTCCCTTAAAACTCACGTCTCGCTTTCAGTTTCGGGCTTTGGCGCAATTTGCACTCACACACAAGCGTACCGCGCCAAAGCCCTAGTGAACCACGCTCAGGCCCACCTCTTCCAACCGGGCCAGGGCCGGCTAAGTGAACCGTGCTTGAGCCCAATTCAGCGCACTCACACTTCTCAAACGATCCGGGAAACGGGCCTGGGCACGGTACGGATGGCATAGTCTGAGTAGGCCCTTATACTCTTAATGAGTTATGGGTGTGTTTTTAGCATAACGTGCATTAAACCAATCAGAATCTTATCTCAATGTTAATGTTGGTTAACATTTTATTCAAAACTGATTAGTATTAAAAATAAGTATTTAAAGTTAACATTGTACACTGTATTCAATGCTGATTAGTATTAAACAGGTATTTAAAGTTAATTTAAAAAACTACCAGTTGTTAGTTTAGCAACATGCTAATATGTTGTTGGTTAACCATTCTTGTTTCTGTATACATTACTGTGTGCAAGATGCACATAGTTGTTACTTATGCCGACAGTTTCGTGAGTGTTTAAGGTGCCGTTTTTGTAGGGGGCTGTACTTATGTAGATGTTAGATATCTAGGTTTTGACTATTGAAATATCGGCTAAAACATGTGTGTATACATGTATAGAGAAGGCCGTGGCCAGTAACTGCCAGCATTGAGGAGTTGAGGGCAGTAGATTCCTAGACGGTGAGAAAGAGACACACATAATGCGCGCACACACACCCCCACACAGGTTGCCGGTATTTGGACTTTGCTGAAGCATGCCTTTGTAACTGAGAGGGGAATACAGCTGTAAAACACCAGCACACACACTCAGCTCTCCTAGCACAGGTCTGCTCTTGTTAACTGCTGAAGTCAGAGCCATTGAACTGTATGCAGAGACTCCTTTAGCACGTCATACACTCTTTTCCTTCTCCTCGGTGCGGTAGGAATGAAGGAAATTAAGGAATGAGTTGTCCTGCCCTGTGGCAGTGTCCCAAACCACTTACTCCTGGCTTCTTTTCTTTCTGAGTGAACTACAACAGGTTAGACATGTGTGATAACATAGAGATTAAGGATGAACTGTTAAGCTCCGACAGACAGACAGACAGACAGACAGACAGACAGACAGATATCATTAAGACAGTACACAGAGGTCACGGTTCTATGTGTACCTCGGTCTTGGGGTCACAACACAACAGAAACCATAACAAATCCCTAGTTCTTGCGTTTTCTGTTGATTTTGAACAGGCAGAAGTGTTTGCTACAGAGCAGGAAAGCTACTTGTGATGCAAAAGAATCAAATAAGCAGACGAAAAAAAAAAACTTTATAATTAGACTATAATTAAACTTAAACAGCTTCAACTTTACAAGGAGTGGTATTAATTAAATGACAGTTACACAGCAATGGATGAATCAGAAGAACTCAAAAGGTGGGCCAAGAGTTCTGAGGTTCTGTGTACCAAGTTGGCTTGACAACAGCAACATGGCAGAACCACTTCTGAGTGCTTTTCAGATGCAAAGATTGCATTTTTTGTGAATTGCTGCTAAGGTCACGGATACAGACACGATAGATAGATAGATAGATAGATAGATAGATAGATAGATAGATAGATAGATAGATAGATAGATAGATAGATAGATAGATAGATAGATAGATAGATAGATAGATAGATAGATAGATAGACAGATAGACAGATAGACAGACAGACAGACAGACAGACAGACAGACAGACAGACAGGGATGGAAAATAGACATGGATGGCTGGATGGAGAATAGACAATGTAGACAGACAGACAGACAGACCGAGACAAATAGACAGACTGAGAAAGAGATGGATGGATGGATGGATGGATGAAGAATAGACAATGTAGACAGACAGACCAAGACAAATAGACAGACTGAGAAAGAGATGGATGGATGGATGGCAAATAGACAGACAGACAGACAGAGATAGAGCTTTGGTTAATTTGTAAAGCACTCAGTCCACCATCAGTTAGTTTCACACTAAAACACCACATTCACTTTGTGCACAGAATATCTCATACTTAATGGAATATCCAGATTTAACCTGAATGACTGAGCTTCCAGTCATGGTACACCAGTAAATTGATATCAGTGTGACTTTTTTTTTTAGCAAGTGGAGGTCAAAGAAACATGAACAATGTTTAAATACTTAAAACGGTTTTAGCATAATGTTTGTCATTTACATTTCTTCAGTTTGGTTTGATTTTGCCTTCTAATTCATACCTCTCTATATCTTTTATAAATGTCCAGATATTCTGGGATGTAAAAGGAACCTTCTGTAAAAAAAAAAACAAAAAAAAAAAAAAGAAAGAAAAAAAGTCTTCCAGTTACATTTAACTGTGAACATGAGAACCACAATCACACACACACACACACACACACACACACACACACACACACACACACATACACGCACGCACGCACACGCACACACACACAAATACTTTCTTCTGATATGATTTACAGAAGGGAATGATTACTACCATGTGAGCGGAAAAAGAAATGAATACTCTTTTCTCTCTCTCTTACTGTCTTGCACTCTTTATTTGTCTCTCTTCCATTCTACAGGAAGTAGTTAGCAGATATGAAACAGGCCTCTCTGACACACACACGCCGACTATCTAAAGCGCTCTGTAATGGAAAACAAATGTAGTGCAGAAGAACAGACACAGAAAATACTGATTGCTAAGTCCACAAAAAAGATAAAAGAAACCTTTGCTATTTATGGCCTGCGTGCGCTATCGTTTCTTTTGTTGTGCCTTCCAATAAAGCCAAAATTCAGTCGCTCAGATGCACTGAGACACACTCAGGGTATGGTGAGAGATGTCAGTGTGCTTCACTGCACCTGAATAGAGCAGGTGTCCAACATCTCCAACACACACACACACACACACACACACACACACACACACACACACACACACACACACACACACACACACACACACACACACACACACACACACACACACACACACACACACACACACACACACACACACCAGGCAAATACAGAGTATCAGATCTAAGCCAGATCACTTTGATATGTTATCCCTCTCTATTCCGGCTGGAGAAGAGCTGTGTGTGTGCTACATTCGTTTACAATATCATCTCTTTAACTAGCAAGGATGTTTTGTTAAAGAAAATGAAATGCCTTTCGCTGCTTTTATAAATGTATTAATTTAGTGTTTATTTGTACACACATGCTTGTGCAGGGCCTGTGCTGGCTTTTTGCTGGCACCGCTGTCTATGGCAAGCCCACAACAAATTTAAACAGGCCCGGTGCGGGCTAGCCCAGGTATGGCCCACCGCTACGAGCTCTGTGTGACTGAAGCCCACATTAATCCCATGCAGGCCTGCTTGTGGACTAGCTAGGGATGGGGAGTCGATAACAAAAGCAAAAGTTTCAGAAAAAGGCATATCAAACAACCGTGATATGCAGTAATATCCATTTTGGCGCTTTGCTTTCGTGGCCGTCACCTAGCAACAGCTGTACACAAAACAGCAGCTTGATGACACAAGTGTACCGGGTTTCAGAAGGAACAAAGACAATATGGACACAAATCAGCGGAGGGGGGGCTATCGAACGTGGGTTCAGACCAGGCATTCGAACCAAGTGTGAAAGCCCCCAAAGAGAAACAAGGTTGAAAAATCATATGACATTGAATACTGAATTCAGCTTTCCCATCACATTAATATATTACTATATATACAGATACAGTTGAAGTCAGAATTATTAGCCCCTTTCTATTTTTTTTTTCTTCTTTTTGAAATTTTTCCCAAATGATGTTTAACAGAGCAAGCACATTTTCACAGTATGTCTGATAATATTTTTTCTTCTGGAGAAACTCTTATTTGTTTTATTCCGGCTAGAATAAAAGCAGTTTAGAATTTTTTATGAACCATTTTAGGGACAAAATTATTAGCCCCTTTAAGCTATATTTTTTCTCGATAATCTACTGAACAAACCACTGTTTTACAATAACTTGCCTAATTACCCTAACCTGCCTGGGCAACTTAATTAACCTAGTTAAGCCTTTAACGTCACTTTAAGCTGTATAGAAGTGTCTTGAAAAATATATAGTCAAATATTATTTACTGTCATCATGGCAAAGATAAAATAAATCAGTTATTAGAGATGAGTTATTAAAATGATTGTTTAGAAATGTGTTGGAAAAAATCTTCTCTCCCTTAAACAACAATTGGGGAAAAAATAAACAAGCGGTCTAATAATTTAGGGGGGCTAATAGTTCTGACTTCAACTGTGTGTGTCTGTATACAACAACAACAACAACAACAACAACAACAACAACATTTCACAATATTATAGGTTTTACTGTATTCTTTAATCAAATTGTTGAAGTTTTGGTAAGCATAAAATACTTGATTTAAATGGCATTAAAGATCGTACAAAAGCAAGGTTTTGAAAGCTTTAAGAGCTTTATTGATACATATTTTGTATAAATTTTGTATTTTGTATAAATTTGTTCACACTTTGATATTGCTCGACATTAATGGCGGGTTTGGCATGCTGTCCTGGAAGGGAACCCTTAACTCTGAGATAATTGACCCCAGGGCTCCCACCTGGTCGATGAGCATGTAAGGGGTGCTAAGAGATCAGGTAGTTCTCGAGACCTCACTCTGGTAAAAGAGGAAAAGGGGGAGATGGGGGGGGGGGATCTTTCAAAAAACTAAGATAAGGGAGTAATACTTGACAGGCTATTTAAAGTGAGTTTGAATATATCTGATTGGCTTACTAATGATCATGGATGGCGACCAATCATATCACATGCTCCTCTCGAAATTAGTTTGTAAATCTTCACTTTGTGATGCACATTTTTTGTAGCTTACATTATTTTTAATGGTGCGATTCTAAAGTTTTATCACCATTATTTGAACAACTGATTTTAATGCCATTCATCTTTTCTTTTTAGCTACCGTAGAGTCACACGCTCCAACAGCGTCACCACTGCCGTTCAAGCTGATCTTGACCTTCTGGAGGGTCTTGCCGATGACCAGTTAAAACAATCCCACCAGGGCCCCATTGTCCACCAGTCATCCCGAGACGCGGCCACTTCCACCGTCAGCATTCAGGGATCAGGGAACCACTACCATGCCTGTGTCCAGGATGAGTACAGTGACATGGACTTCGACCCCTCCATACTGCCCCCACCAGACCCCTGGATGGATGGAGCCACGGAGGAGGAATATGCAGGTGGACTGTCGGGCTCTGTGTGTCTGCAGGATGGACACTGGTTTCTGAAGCTGCTGCAGGCAGAGGTGGAGAGGATGGAGGGCTGGTGCATGCAGATGGAGCAGGATGAGCGAGAGAACGAGCTACCGGAAGACAGTGAGTAACTATGACATCATCGCTCTAAATAGGCCGTAAATACAGACTGATGATTTACTGTGCATTATAGGTCACATTATTTAAAATGTTTTATTCTACTGCATTTCAGGAATTAAAGAAATCACAAGAATAATTTTATTTGACTGCTTTTAGGTATTAAAGACTCATTTAAAATATTTTATGCAACTTTTTGGGGGTATTAAAGACTTGTTTAGAAATAAAAACAGTTGAATAGATTTTGAGGAATACAGACCATGTGGAATATTTATTCAAATGCTTTCTTGCATAAAAAAATTGTTTAAAATATTCGATTCAACTACTTTTTAGAATACACACTCACCAGCCACTTTATTAGGTACACCTTACTAGTATCGGATTGGACCCCCTTTTGCCTTCAGAACTGCCTTAATCCTTTGTGGCATAGATTCAACAAGTTGAACTCATTGTGCTGTTCAAGAAACCATTCTGAGATGGTTCGTGCTTTATAGCATGGGGCATTAAGTAGCCATCAGAAAATGGGTACACTGTGGTCATAAAGGAATGGACATGGTCTGCAACAATGCTCAGGTAGACTGTGGCATTGACACAATGCTCAATTGGTACTAATGAGCCCAAAGTGTGTCAAGACTTTTCACCATTCACCACCACCACCACCAGCCTTAACCGATACGATGCTTAGATCCATGCTTTCATGTTGTTGATGCCAAATTCTGACCCTACCATCTAAATATCGCAGCAGAAACAGAGGCCCCGTTTACACTAGTGCGTTTTAGTTTTAAAACGGCGTTTTAGAATGAAAATGATCAGCGTCCACACTCGCGTTTTACCCAGCGTTTCTGAACAGCTCTTCGTCCACACCAAAACGCTGAAAACGCACATCACGTGACCACACACACACTCTTTGGCAAGCGCTGCAGCCCATCTACCCAGATGAGAGCTGTGCTAGTCGGACTTCTCATCAAGCATCTCCTGCTGGATCTAATCTCACTATATTTATTAAACGGGATATTTCATTCATATTGTTGTCTTTAACAACATGTTCCCTGACTTTGGTCATTGGAATCTATTACTTGTTCTCAGGTAACGTGTTTTGGCTGAGCGCAAAGATAAGGTAATGATTAATGTAAGCACGTACATTCTGTATATTGACTGATCGCTTGCCTTTATTTCCTATAATGTATAAACTTATTGTATGTTATACTTTTATAATGGCCATTATCGATTATTAAAACTGATATTCAGCAAAAGAGAGGGTGTGTTTCGTATTTTTACTGAAATTGAAAGGAGACAGTTGTTATCGGCTCTGTTTTGTTATAAATATCCACACAGTGAAGATGACGCTCATGTCTGCAGCCCCGCCTCTGTTTTCAGATGTCTCCGTTTTCCATCATCCACACTGAGACGGAGCAGCAGCGTTTCAGAATGAAAACGGCTTCTCGAGAACTCCGGGCGCTCGAGAACTCCGGCGTAGTGTGGACGGATGGCGTAACCGTAGCAAAACTTATGCGTTTTCAAACTAAAACTCATTAGTGTAAACGGGGCCAGAGACTCATCAGACCAGGCAATGTTTTTCTAATCTTCAATTGTCCAATTTTGGTGAGCCTGTGTTAATTGAAGCCTTGGTTTCCTGTTCTTAGCTGACAGGAGTGGCACCTGATGTGGTCTTCTGGCCATTCCCCTCTGAACTCTGGAATCAACAAGGCATTTGCGCCCACAGAACTGCCGCTCACTGGATATTTTCACTTCTAAAAAGTGGAAAACCACCCTAGAGATGGTCCTGCGTGAAAATCCTAGTAGATCAGCATTTTCTAAAATACTTGGTGCCAGATCTAGATCAGCTGGTCTAACAACCATGCCACATTCAAAGTCACTTAAATCCCCCTTCTTCCCCATTCCCAATGCTCGGTTTGTACTGCAGCAGATCGTCTTGACCATAAATGCATTGAGTTGCTGCCATGTGATTGGCTGATTAGAAATTTGTGTTATTGAGCAGTTGGACAGGTGTACCTAATAAAGTAACGGGTGATTGTAAACTCTTAGAATAATCAGTTCAACTGCATTTAGGACATTAAATACTCATTACGAAAATTTTATTCAACTGCTTTGTTGGCATTAAAGATTCAATTAGAATATTTAATACATCTGCATTTTAGAAGTATAGACTCATTTAGAATAATCTACTCAATGATATTTAGAACAATAAATGCTGACACAATCTACATTGTAAAAGTGCTACAGAAAAAAAAAAGATGAATTAAATACTCAGAATATTTGATAAAACTGCTTCTTTGGGCATTAAAGAATCATTTAGAGAAAATAAATTCAGCTGCTTTTTCAGGATTACAGACTCATTTACAATATTCAATTCAGAAACATTTAGTTTCTAGAATTTTCAATTTATCGCCCATTCTTTGGAAGATTTGAATGTTCTAAATGCACCACTGATTCCACATGTATTATTGCCTGGTAGGAAACTTACTATAGGATTGATTTTAAGTTAGTTTAAATAATTTAGCTTAGTAATGAACAGCATCATTGATTCAACCATCATTGAATTTCCTATTCTGCTATTTTATTTTCAAGGTAGTCTTTAAATGGAGTGATCAGTCAGCTCTTTTTGAAGGCTTGATTGTGTTTATGGGCTACACTGTAACGTTCATGCACTTTCACTCTGCACTGTTAACTTCCTACTCCTGTGAAGACCCTCCCTCAGATTGGACAGCTGACCCAGTGTGTTCTGATCTGATGCAAATTTGAGGGTTTTTAACATCACAAACTCTAGAGAAGCAACTTCTTGTATTCTCTACCAGATGTCTGCTGCTGACCTTACAAATTAATTCTGTAAAAGAAATTCCCTCTCTTTCGACTGAACTTTCAGTGTTAACTTTGCAGGTGTTATTTATGCTAATTTGTAGCACTTTGTATCATTTAGAGAATAATAAGCCACTTCAGCAAAATCACAAGCGTACAAGGTCATTTCACAGTCTGGTTACCTCCGGCCGCCCCCGTTTCTTAATCTCCCACTTCCCGCCTTTTCCTTCGAGCACACACACACACACACAGACCGGACGCAGTGACCGTCTTCATGTCAGTCACAAAGCCTGCTTGTTCATCTATCTCCTGTCTGTCTCCCTCGCGCATACCAGACATTTCTACCAGCAGGGAGCCACCCATCTCCCTCGTTCATTCGCTGCTTCGTTCTCACTATTTTCTCAGTTTCTAAATCTGTCTCCTTCCACTCTCTCTCTCTCTCTCTCTTCCTCAACCCTTCCTTCTTTCCCCGAATACATAAAAGATGCTAATCCCCATGTCCTACGACAGCGCATTGTTTGCCATATGGTCTCTCGCTGCTGCATATGTTAAACAGAGCGAGTTCATTTCGTCAGATCTCTGTTTAAACCGCCTCATGGCTCCAATCCGCAGAGACACGCTGCAGTTTCTCCTCAGGCCACGGTGAAAGCCTTTATATGACCCTCGCATGGCAAACATTAGCTTCCTTTAAGAGAATTCGCCCTTGTTTGGTAATCTGATATGCTGTTTACCCTCTTTCACTCTCAATCTATCTTTTTACATCAAACTCTAGTTCTCTGTGTGTGAGTGAGTGAGTGAGTGTGTGTGTGTGAGGCTCATTTGCTTTGGCGGGTGTTTGTTTGGTGTGCATGGTAAACACTCCCCCCTACTCCTCCGGTTCCTGCATTTGGGTTCCCAAGGCTTAGATATTTATGACCCCCTTCAAGCTTCAAAGAGATAGCATTTAAACATTAACCGGCCGTCTGAGCTTTTGCAACACAAACGCACACAGACACTGAGCTGTTGCATATCATTTCTCATAAAGGATATCAATTTTTAACACACTTTTGTTTTACTAAAGCTGTTGAATTTTGTCTTTTTTAATTGTTTTGTCTGTTTAGTCCTTGGAAAGATTCGCAGTGCGGTGGGCAGTGCACAATTGCTGATGGCGCAGAAATTTCAGCAGTTCCGGGATCTTTGTGAAGAAAACTTGGTATGTATGAAGCAGAATATCAGAGTGGTACTTATGGCCTCTTTCCACTGAGTGGTACGGTATGGCTTTTATAGCCATTTCCACTGTCAAAAAGGTACTAAAGTGCAAGCGTTTTCGCTTTCTCATGTGCATTCGCCATTTGTCTAGATTTGAAATAGTGTTAATATTATTATAGAGCTGATGATAATAATGAGCGTGTGATTATTAAAGTGCTTCTGACATCTGATCCATCCGACAAACGCAAGAGTGGCATGCGAAAAAACAAAGAAGAAGCCGGGAAAAACAAAGGAGCAAATAACTGTTTCAGCAACCTAAAACTCATGAACAAACCGCCATGTTTAACTCTTATCACCTTTTGGACTATTATGAATTCGGAATGACAGAATTACTTTCTAACTGAGGTTGCATGTGCTGGTGAAGTTTAAAGATACAGATGAGAGGTTTGCACTGACTGTGGGCTATATGTTGCATGTTGTTTTTGAACCCAATAAGGACTAAATGTGTGCTGTGTGCAGTTTATCTGTAATTGGTATTATATCGGAGACTGTAAAGGTCTGTATGTGTTCATATATGTTCCATTTATTCATTTATTTTTTATAATTGCAGACGTTACAGTAGGCCATTTTGCATTGATCTGCAGTTAAAATCAAATAATGTTCATAGAAAGGTTAGTGATGAACATTTAAACACAAGTATTTATGTGTATAAAGCATCTTTTTGGTGGGAAGTGCTTCTCATACGATATGTGAGCAACCTGTACAGCTTTTACTTTGACATTTCCTCGAGCGAGAACGACGTCAACTTAAACTTTCTGTCGTACACCATGCCCACCAAAAGAGTACCATTGGTACCCTTTTAGCCTTGAAAACGCAAGCCTATGTGCCATACCCGTACCATACCACTCAGTGGAAATTCACCATTAGAGGCTCCACCCCTTTAGTGGCTTTCTTAGTAACACTAAATTAAGCTAAATCAGTTAGATATTTTTAGGCATTATGTCATTTGTCTCCCCCCCCAAGTTAACAGATGTTTTGTGTGTGCTCTATTCTCTGGCTGTCAGAATCCCAATGCCCACCCGCGGCCCATGTCTCAGGATCTGGCAGGATTCTGGGATATGCTGCAGCTGTCCATTGAGAACATCAGTCTGAAGTTTGACGAGCTCCACCAGCTGAAAGCTAACAACTGGAGAGCGCTGGATCCTTCTGAGAGGAAGGTGCATTACAAATCCAGATGCATTACACACTCTCTAAACAATGGCTAAGAATACCATTGAGTCATTTATGTAATGTCATTTTTCTGCATGCTTAAGCTGCTTGATTGGTTTGTTGTTGCTGTTGGATATGTCAGAGTAGAAGCAATATTTAATTTGACGCGAACAGTAACAAGCCTCAGGAGGGTGGATGTGCTGTCTGCTCATTCTTGAACATTTCCCCCAAAATAATAATTCTGTCATTATTTACTGTTCCAAATTTATGTGACTTTCTGTGGGATGCAAAAGGGGAGTTGAGGAATTGCAATGTTGCCCTAAATGGAGCCTGATGACATCAAGTTAAAAAAAAAACGCCACAAAATGCTACAAAAGTAGAACAGTAGTAATTATTTTCAGGTCGTCTGATTGTGTCTTTTAAAATCATGCATAACTTTGAGACAGCAAATATCAATTATAATTTTGTTTGCATGTTTTTGGTCATCCAATCACAAGTGGCAAGCCAAGATACATTGGGCCTTATCATACACCCGGTGCAATAAAGCGCTAGATATGTATGGCGTGATTTGTTGCTATTTTAAGATCAGCTCAACCCAATTTTCATGTTAATTGGCATATTTGTTTTGATAAACATTTTTTTTTAGATTTGTCCACCTGTCGGGTTTAGGAGATGTCTTCATCACCATAAGAATAAGACATGCATTTGGGCATAACTGTCCACACCTCGTTAATATTGATTATTTATTAGTTTGCTGAAAATTAAAACAATTTTTTTTATTATTATTTTGAAACAAATCTTTGCACTTAACAAACTAAATTAAATATGTGGCCAAATGGATGTCTTTAGTAGTGTGCGTACAAACCTTTTTTCCTGTTCACGAAAGTAAAGGAATTAAGAGTAAAATTAAAGAGAACGTAAAAGGGCTAAATGGAGGAGGATCGTTCTTTATCATCGCGCAGATTGTTTGTTTAACAGTTTTCTCGCTAGTGAAGCGTTCAGTTTTTCCACTTACAAAGTTTGCCATGTAAATAGCAAATGCGCCACAGCTCAATGCAACCATTAGCATAATAGCTTTGAAAACACAGTTTCTCCCCTGCAGTCCAAAGCCACGCCTCCTGGTATCACGAATGTGCACCCTGAAGATGACAGTAAACAACTCACTAGATCATTTAAGTAAATTGTCTATAGTGTATGAGTATGTGTGGATGTTGATGTTTCTCAGAGATGGGTTGCAGCTGGAAGGACATCCGCTGCGTAAAAACATGCTAGATAAGTTGGCGGTTTATTCTGCTGTGGCGACCCCGTATTAATAAAGGGACTAAGCCGACAAGAAAATGAATGAACTTTAATCATTACTATTGGAATGTGAAGAGACTTTCAACTAGCACAAAAAAAATAATAATTCTGAAGACAATCACCTACTGCACCTTTAAATATGGCATTTACTCTGACTCTTAAGTGTTCGCTTAGACGACAGCTATGTTAGCATAATCCTGTTTTCAGCTTTTAGTAGAAAATGGTGTCTACTTTATTATATGTTGCATTTTGTTTAAATGTTTATGTAATTTTCTTAATTGCATGTGCTATTGTATTATATGTTTTGCTCATTGTCTTATTAATTTGTGTTCTGTGTTTGACAGTGAACTGGTTTTCAGATGATGCTACCAAATTGCACGCTGCATGCTGTTCTCCCCCAGTGGTCCCGTTCACCTCACGACAAATGGGTTAAACCTAGCTGACAAAAATGGCCCTGCCACCCTTGAGCTCTTGCTTAATATATTTGGCTAATGCCTGGCACTAAATATTGCAAATGACCCAGCAGATGACCCTGCGTTTGCATGCTTTAGCTGTGTTGCATTACATCAAGAAGTCACAGATATAACAGTCAAGAAGCTAACAGATTTGTCATTGATGTCCAGGAGAGGCGCGTGCCCCCTCCGGTACCCAGGAAGCCGGGGAAGGGTCCCATGCTGCTAGTGAGAGATCGGTCTCTGGAAGGTTCCCAGCGAACGGAGGCTCGAAAGCGGTTGTTAGCGGCAAAACGTGCTGCAGCTTCTCAGCGCCAGAACTCTGCTACAGAATGCGCCGACAGCATCGAAATATACATCCCAGAGGCCCAAACACGACTATAAACACGGTCACTGTAAAACAACCAGGTGCTTAGAGGCCTAAACAGACACAAAAACACACTCATCTTCAACCATAACACAATAGCACTGAATGACAAAGGCAGGGTAGCTGTAACATAATCACTCCTCTTTTCTTGTGTAAAAGAGAGTTTCTTCACTGTGGGCTTCTACTGTATGTATTTATGACTTAAAGGGATAGTTCACCTAAAATGTACATTTGTCAGTAATTTATTCACCCTCAGGCCATTCAAGATTCTTCAGTAGTACATTTAAGGAGATTTTTAGCTATAACTGTGGTATTTGGTGATTCATTTAATGCAAGTCATTGACTTTTAGACAGTTTTAGAGTAAAAAAAAAACATATATAGGCAAAACAAATGTAATCTAACGTACCTGACAAGAGGCCTTACAAGCGAATGCTTTGTTACTGCTCAAACCCTGGGACACACCAAGCTTAAAGGGCCATGAAACCCCCCTGTTTCAGCATCGTGTTTTCACACCTCTACTTTGGAAAATGTCAGGAAAGAGGGCATGTCCAGCTCTGTTTAGGGGGGAGTGTTGGAGAAGGGAAAAAGGCATGGTCCGTAAAAATTTGCATAAAAATGGAAGTGTCGATTTGGGCACGCGCTGATTTTTACAAAGGCAAAACAAAAACACAGACGCAGAGGAGAAAGACAGTGACTGAGTTTACATGGACATTAGTATTCAAATTATTTGCCAAATTATTAAATGGTGGACTTTAACTGCAGTTTGGCTCTTTCATTCAGGAATTTCATTCATGCCCCTCCTGAAAAACAAGGTATTTGTTTCGAGGAATTGCTGGAAGCGTGCATCTTCCATGCAATGTTTGTTACCGCACAGCGAATGAGAGAAAAAAATGCCTCCGCATTTCTTGGTAACTTAGATGCACTCGGTAGGTAGCGTCAGAAAGCCGTGTGTGTTATTCCTGTCACAAAATGCAGCGAAAATCCTCCACGACGGTAAGTTTGGTTGGGTTGCTTACACGTTTACACTCGGGAGAGCAGCATTTACAGCGGATTTTTCAGTCCATAATATTCTAGTGATGTTAACGTATGGTAAACTTTATTAACTTAGAAATCATTTGACTAAGGTCCGTCTTTAAACACTAAAAGAGTACTGCTGACGATACTAAATGACTTTGCCTCTGAATAAACAAACAAAGACCACTGATCGCTTACTTGCCAAATCTGTAGACACAGGACAAATCAACACCAACTGGATCTGCGCGTTTATTAAAAGAAGACGAGCGGCAAATCCAGATTTCACCATTTCAAGATGAAAAAAAAGCTCTCAGGTAAAAAATGTTCCTTGGGCACGTATTTCTACGGTGTGTCATGTGCACTGTAATCCACTTGTGAGTCCAGCTGCGCTCTCAGAGAGGGAAAATAAAAACAAAACCTTCACTGCAGCAAATTATAAAAGCAACATTGATGACCCATAACTCCAAACAATTCATGTTCTCCCGCTTGGCAACACAACGCAGCATTTCTCTGCCGTCTGAACACTGTATCAGGTCCTGGAAGCTATCATGCATATTAATGAAGTTGCACCGCATTCACAACAGAGCGCGCTAATTGGTTTGAAACAAGTCATATTCCTGAATTAATGCAACACACTCAGACACTTAATAAGGTACTCCCAGGTACAGACAGCCAGTCTACACGCTGAAATACACGCTCATGGCCGTGACACAGCTTCAAAAGTTAGTTTCAAAACGGAAGTACGAATTTGCTCAAAATAATGCAAAAACAACCAATTTTCACTTTTTAGTGAAATATTTGTGTCCTAATAGTGTTTTCAGCCGTGTGGGACACATATATGACAGTCAACAGCTCAGAAATTGTGTTTTGGTGACCATTTAAGGTCGGCAGCAGAAACTTACCTTAGCCAACATCCAAGCTTTCGGTGAGCATCTGTTTGTTTGGTGTGTTCCACACGTCACCTCTCGTCAGGCTCATGTTGGGAGGTTGTACTATTCAGCATGTAGAATCGATGTCAGTCAATAGTGAAGGAGAGCACTCCGATTGGATGTTCAGCTACAAATCAGAATGAGAGAATAAAAAATTAAGTGACATAACAAGGGAGTAGATTTAGAGCTAATTAGATACCTAACATTTTTTTAGAGACTGAACACATTTTTACTTTTGTACAGCAATTTATGCATGCACCTTAAGCTGAAAAAAGTCTCTGAGCGCGTAAACAGAACAGCACACATTCTATTTTGCATATTTAAAAAACATGAATAAACAAATTAAAAAAAACATTAAAATCAAGCATCCCTCATGCTACAAAAGTCAATTTATAGAATTTTACTTTGTGGATGGATGAATGTGGACTTTTGGAAAGGGGAGGCATACCACCTAATGTCCATTTTATCTTGACTGTTGTTTTTTTAAAGTCATTGCGAAGGCCAAAATCAAAAAGATATCTAAAATCTAAATCTAAAAGATAAATAATTACACACCCATGGTTACTATTATGGTGGACTTATAGTGAACTTGACTTCAAGAGACTTCCACTTTTCTTTGAAAGTCTCACCTGAGTTTTGCACAGTAAATACTGACTTATATTTCTAAATCAAGCGCATGCGTATATATTAGGGTTGGGCATCTAAGCCATAATGCCGATCCGATACACATCTCGATACAAAGAATACGATCCGATATATTAGGGATACATTTGTGACATATTGCGATAAAACACGATACGATTCACACCCATATCACGATACAATGCGATAATTCAGCACTAACTAATTAGATCAAGTTTATGAGATTATGTGAAAGAGGATGCTGTGCCATTGAATGAGTTTGATTATTTATTAACCAAGCAAAACCAAGACTTTTTTTTTTACAAACTGGCTTTTCTCTCAGAGCCAGAGTGTCAGTTTACAATAGAGGGCCATTTTAGAACATATAGCAAATATTATTTAAGTATTTTCAAGATAAACAGAATGTATAAGTGCAATATATATTAAAATATATATATATATATATATATTTGAACTCTTTCAACATAAAGGTTTACCATTGCACAACAAGAACTGTGATATAACTTTTCAACTATGAAAACAAGTTTTACAAAGATATTTTGCCACTGATTATTCAAAACTTAAGGTCGTGAACTAGCAGTGTTATGCTGCTTTGAAACATCACTGTCACTGTAAACAACAGGCTAATAAAAATATAATTAAATACAAATTAACAGGAGGAGGTGTTTAAAACCTTCGTTCTCCGTGACACTAGGCTGAATATCTTTGCAGATGAACAATGCAGTAACATCCGTTATTGGCGTAGAGCGCACAAAACTGTTGCGCATGGAAAAAAATTTGCAATGCTTTTCTCACCACTTTTGGAGCTGGTAGCTAAAGTTGAAGCAGTGCAGGAAGCCGGGGATGCAGAAACACTGGAAGATGCTTCCACAACAACACCGTGGCGCCGCTTCAAGTGAAATACTTTAGATTTAGAACTCAGTGGGGAATAAAAAGTTTGTTTTGCTTCTCGCGCTTTCTGAGGGCGCACCACTAGCTTCATCCGCACACCTGATACACTGAGTTGTAGTGTAAGTGTACACATCCGCAAATCCGTTGCTAAAGGCATACTTTATGTAGGTCGATTAAATTATGCGCCAAAAACAGGTTGACAACACTTGTAATAAATAAAAAATACATTCTATATTAAAAATATAAGTTGTATCTTGGAAAAACCGATGCATCTCGCAAAAACCGATGCATCTCGATTTGCTTGCAAAATTTCATTCATCCTTTGCTGCTCTACCGATGCACTCGCATCGTGCACGCGCATGACCGCGTATCGATACATATCGATTAATCTTCCCATCCCTAGTATGTATGGCACAGCCTTCGCGTGGTTGCATAGCTCTTGCCGTGGCTGACGCGCACCTCTCTTTAACTACGTCGCAACGGCAGATAGCACAAGCTCTGTGATTGGTCGGCTTGGTAGCTGTGATAAGTGTAGGTGGTGCTGATAGCTGCAAGCCCAATGGGGTAAGTGTTTACAAGTGTTGAGTCCCATAAAGGAGCTCCAGATGAAAACAGTTGTTTTGTGTTTACCTTATGATTAAAGTTGTTGCACATCCACCAGTTCCCACCTCTGTTTACTAACAAGCAGTACGTTTACATGGACACCAAAACTCTTATTTTAATATGATTAAAACAATACTATGATTAAAAGTCTACCATGTGAATAGTCCGACTAAAGTCATAATCGAACTGCAACGAAATCGGACTGAGACATGGAATATTTCTATTTTAGTCTCATTATTGAAGTGCAGTACAGACATGTAAACACTGCAATCGAACTAATACCATTTTGTAGTACTTTGCTACATTTTGCGAAAGGACACACACACACAGCAGTGGTCAGCTTTTGAAACCAAACAATTTTTTTTGCAAGCGGCAAACGATTACTGTGCTCTCATTCAGTACCTCTGAGTTTGTCATGAGGCATGAATGAAAATTTAGTGAATGAATTCCAATGGTATCTGCAGACTGCAGAGGTGGCCTGTTACTTGAGAATTTTTATCCACCATTGTCTGTTTGGTGCATAGTGTGAGAAATGAACAGCAGTTGAACTTTTCGCAAACTTAAAAACTAAATGCCCAAAATCACATATGGTGATATGACGAACACAAACTATCATTGTGTAAAACCCCAATGGAAACAAGTGTTGGATGGTGAAGTAATGACGTTAAATAAATGATGTACTGCATCATGTGAGATGGGAACATGAAAGAAACATTCAAAAAAGCAACTCATGTACAAACCGTAATCATATTATTGTCTTATTCGGATTAAGGCAAATAATTAGATCACTGATGTCTATGTAAATGTCCCTCGTTATTTGCGTTACGTACTAGCCGAAATCCACAAAGTAGCCAGCTTAATTTTTACAATTATTATAAATGTTTTAAGGATGCAGAACACAATGTGCGAATCAGGATGCATAACACAATGCCCTGTAGAAAAACAAACATGTTAAATTGCATTAAAAAAAATTTTTTTAAAACTGCGAGGCCACGAAAAGAAGCTTGTTACAGCGAGGGACCACTGTACAGCGTTTTTGCCTATTTTTTCAGATGTGTAATTGTAGAATAATTTTGAAAACGCTGTTGTAACTAATGTAAATGTAGCGTTTTTTTTTTAATTGCAGAGGACGTTTGTTGTATTT